CTCAAAAAAAAAAAAAAAGCACAAATTAGGGAAATGTTTAAATTGAATGTTGACAATTATATCTGAACAGAATATATTTATGGGGTACAAAATGATGCTATGACATATGTTTACAATTTGAAATAATCAACTCAAGCTTAAACTTATTAAAAATCTTCATCATACAAGGAAATACATTTTCAAAGTGAAAAATCCATTTTCAAGATGGCATCTTTAATTGGAAACCCATTATGGGTTCCAGGTAATCAAAATGCTCTGTATGATTTTCCACATAGTTTCTTTAAGAGACCCAGCCTCCAAAAATAAAATTGCGTGATAGATTTTCTTAAGAAAGATCTCATCAGAATTTTGCCCATGGTGTAAAGTATTTTGCGTAAGGAAATTATATTTAAATACACATGGTATTTTATTGAATGGGCATTTGTGTTTGTACAGACGTTTTAAAATTTTAAAGGATAAATGTTAAGAATGTGATGAACCATTGGCATTATCAGAAGAAAGAGATGTTATTACACACAGCTTTTCATTTAAAACAGCTGAACTACTTCCCTCTAATACTGTGGCTTTGTTTTAAGTATCCAAGCTGCTTTGCACGGGAAGTCTGGGGTAAACTTAGGGAGTCTGTGGAATTTTTCCCTTTTAGGAGGTTTAATTTTACCTACTAGTCGCATTCCTTTAATAAGAAACCTGAAAAGGAATGCAGGCCTTGTGAATGATCTCTGTGTATAGCCTTACTATACTTTTGCTCTGTGTATAGAATCATACACAGAGAATTATCATATGTAATATACACTATGTTATTTTGTCAATAAAAGAATTAATCTCAGGTTTTGCCTTCGAAGCCACAAATACAAATATGTCACTTTTGGCTAGTTTAGTAAGATGAAGACACTCTCAGGTCTGATCTCCTTGGCACAGCAGGTGAGGTCACAGCAGGGAGCAGAAGGACTCTTAGCACTCAACCCACCCAGGTCTGTCTCATGGGTTGCACTTGAAGGATCTCCAGATTTCCGGGAACTTCCTCTGAGTATTTTTCTACAGAACAACAGTGCACTTGCAAAGTTCCTCAGGAAGAATTTGCTGAGCCCTAGATAAAAAATGCACACGTTTCATGGTCTTAGTCATTGGTTGTGATAATTTATTCTCATCTTCTCGATTCCCTGCACAAAACAAGTTTTATTAAATCAATTGTGTGTCTTGAAAACTGAGAAATTTTTATGTGTTTTCACAATAAAAATGCAGGTTCACATTTTATTCAATGAAAATGATCATCAAAATTATTCTTAGTTAAAACAGTACATTATTGGGAATTATATTCCCAAAGCTAGAGATTTTAAAATGCTTATGCTCACAGTCTCCATTATAAAATTGTAGTATTTAAAAAAGATGCTATTTAAATAAAAGGAAAAGAAACCATACTCATATCTATTATTCTTCCTCTAACACCTGAATCTGTTTGTTTTGTGTGAGGTCTGACATGTTTAGGTTAAATATCTATTTATGATTCTTTATTTTTTTTTGTTTTTGAAGAGAATAAAAATATATTTCAAATGGATAAAGGATAGGGAGGCAAAGAAATGATACCTTAGAAAAAGCAGAAGGATTGGGGGGAAGGTTGATGTTTTTATAATCTTTAATCTTTCTTTAATGTTTGATGTTTAATCTTTAAGTCAGGATGATTTAACTGAAAAAGATCTTAACATGGAACACAAATTAGATGCTATAAAGGAAAATGTTCATAAATTTTATGTATAAAATTTTATAAGATGTATATCTCAGAAAAAAAGTAATGTCAAACAGGGAAAATATTACTCAGGACCACTGAGTAATATTTTAACATTATTATATTCTTATAATATTATATTTTAACATTATAATATATATAATATATATTGTTATAATATAATATTTTAACATTATTAATATTTTAACATTACTCAGGAAAATATTACTCAGGGTGATTTTAATGCAAAAATCAATGCTTCCAATGACCATGTAATAAAGTGAATGATTCATGAAAGAGATCAAATCAGGAATTGGATATGAATAGGAAGTTTACATATAGAAAATACAAATGTTTCATAAGTATATGCAGCTATACTAAACCTTAAACTAACACACAACTGAAAGAAATGAAAACAGCCAATTGAGAAATTCTATTTTTTTCATATACCAGCTTTTTGATAGACTCACTTTTTGGGTGAGTTAAAAAAAAATTGATAATATCCAGTGTGTAACAGGGTGAGGCAGAAGAGACACTGCTGTACTGTTTGTTGGTGCAAATTTAATAATGCCCATAACTTTTGACTCAACAGTTCCATGAATAAAGTTTTACAGAGAAAACCTGTACAAAAATGAGCACAGCAGCCTTGCTTTTAAAGGGAAAATTTAATAATTTTAAAGGGGAAGTTTCCACTGCTTGTGGGAAAGCAAACTACTACAACTACTGTAGAAAACAGTATGGGGATTCCTTAAAGAACTAGAAGTAGAACTACCATTTGATCCCAGCAATCCCACTACTGAGTATCTACTCAGAGGAAAAGTAGTCATTATATGAAAAAGATACATGCACATGCATGTTTATAGCAGCACAATTCACAATTGCAACAATGTGAAACCGCCCCAATGCCCATCCATCAAGGAGTAATTAAAGAAACTGTGGTATATATACACAATGGACTACTGTTCAGCCACAAAAAAGGAATTGCTTAATGGCATTCACAGCAACCTGGATGAGACTGGAGACTATTATTCTAAATAAATTAACTCAGGAATAGAAAAGCAAACGTCTCATGTTCCCACTCATAAGTGGGAGCTAAGCTATGAGGCTGCAAAGGCACGAGAATGACACAATGGACTTTGGGGGCTCAGGGGGAAAGGGGAAGATGGGGTGAGGGATAAAAGACCACAAATTGCATGCAGTGTATGTTGTATACTGCTTCGGTGATGGGAACACCAAAATCTCACAAATCACCACAAAAGAACTCACTCATGTAACCAGACACCACCTGTTCCCAAATAACCAATGGAAGTAAAACATGGAATAAAAGGGAAATTTAAATAAATGTTAGTTCATCAAAGAAATAGAGCACTATACAGCTGTTAAAGGGAATATGGTAGAGTTGTATTTACTGACAAGAATGATGCATTAATATATTATTGGGTGTAAAAAGCAAAATATGACACTGTGTATAATCACACTTGTGTGTATTATGTATAATTATATGTAATATATAAGTCATATATTTGCCCATAATCAATAACAAAATACATATGTGTTTATATAGATAGGTGCACACAAACATGCTTATATGTGTGGATAAAATATCTGCAGAATATGTGAGTTAGTATAAACAGTACCTACTATTAAGGAAATAGGCTTTCACCTTGTCTTTTATAACTGTCTTATTTGAGTTTTGAATGGAAATCATGTGTGTATGTGGTCACATATCAAGGAATTCTAATGAGGATTATAGGAACAGGTAATTGTTTAACACCTTTCTGTACTGCAACCTAGCCCTGCTTCTGAGAAGCACCCTTTTTATATCATTTGCTCTTCTTTAGGTAATTGATAAATGATAATTGCATAACTTATGTATATCACTTGATTTATCAACTGTAAACATATCTTCCCTAGCTGTGCAGCCTTCAAATCGATCTTTCCCTCCTTCAGTTTCTTCATTTCAAAGTGAGAATCAATATAGTGCCTGATTGAGGTACTGTATTTATAAGGTTGTCATGGGGTTTAAATGACCCAAATATAAGTCACATTCTTAGAATGTGCTTTATTATATGATTAATACATCAGGTGTGTTAATGATTATTTTGTATTATGAATATAAACAACTCATCATTACTGACTTATGCTATGTCCCTGCAGACAAGGTTGATGGTTAAGCTATGATTTTTGGTCTTCTGGCTAGTTTATAACAGGTCCTCCCTCCCTGTAAGTACTGTCCTACCTCTACGACGGGGGCATTAGCACCTCCAGGCTGGCATTGCCTCTCTTCCTCACATCTGTTTTCTGCACCTCTGACTTCTTGGTCCATTCACAGAATTCCCAGTTTCAATGTCCTGCATGCCCATGACGTTATCTTCTGTATATTTCTGTCTCCATCGCTGTCGTCTCTGTCTTCTTCATCCCTCATTTATCTAACTTTGTATTTATAATGTAAATGCCACAGTCCTCATCTAATAATGCCCATTTAGTATATAACCTCTTTCATTTAGACAAGGCTATAAAGAAAATATCCACCATCTACAATACTTCTGATATCATATGTAAGATATTGTAGACATGGCTATATGAAACTACTATTACACTGAAAATTTTAATACATTTAAGCTACAGTAAACAAAAAGAAGATGTTTCTATTTTTTTAAATTTGAACTATTCATGTTGAAGGGTTTGGGATGTATCTGCATGTCATTGGGCTAATTTCTCAAATTTTCTGTGCCTCAGTTTTCTCATCAATAAAGTGTTGGTAACAGTGATGGTTATTATGATGATGGTAATGGTAAATAAAGTGAAAATAACAACTGCCAATCAAATCTTTTAAGTGTCCTTATGCTATGATAGTTTGTATTATAATGAATATGATAGTAGATGTTCAACAAATAATACCCATTATAAAGAGGAAGAGGATGATAATGGTGGTGGTAGTGGTGATAACAGCTATACTGTTTTTGAGCATTGTAGAATCTTGATTTTAGCACTATTTGTGACACCAAATTGCTCGTGTTGGCTCATCTTTGGTCATCTGTCATGCGTGTTAGATTAAAACATATATTTTTCAAAATGTCTATATAAATGATTTAATATTAGATACTGGAGTGTGTACATAGCTATCTTCTCCAGTGTATAACCCAAATAGATATCCATTGGGTTTCATAGCTAAGAAATTCCATACCTCTCTGTCAAGGGACAGATTCGCCTTGGCTTGTGCATCTTATCTTGGGTAAAGCTGCTTTTTTGTTGATGATTTGGTGTGTGTTTCCAGCACCTGCATTGGGGCCCAGGATCCTTACTGTGGCTGGGACGTGGTGATGAAAAAGTGCACGAGCCTGGAGCAGAGCCTGAGCATGACGCAGTGGGAACAGAGCATCTCCGCGTGTCCGGTGAGTGTCCGCCTTCTCCATCCTCTGACAATGCTGCCCATGGGAGCCATGCTATCCCAGTGATCCTCCACCACAACGTCATGCTCTCTGCACCTTTTCATATGAGAACCGTTCTTATAAACCCAGTCTGTGCTCTCTCAGATCACTTCACCCTTGGCTTGCACAGAGACACATGGGATGCTGTAATAGGCTTTTTGTCTGTTTTAAGAGAAAGGTCTTAAGAGAAAACTGTCTTCATTTGATAATAGAGTTTATGATTTCTGTTTTATTCTTGGATTTTTTTTTCCCTCCAGAGTTTGGTGTGGAATATTTTGCCCCTTGTAGCACTAATAAATCAGGAATTTCCACACCCACAAATTTCCATTGGGAGCTATAATTCCAGTGGCTGACATAAGGAAAGATGAGAAAAGAATAAACTAAATGGTATTAGTTTCACCTTCATGTGGGGCCAACATGTAGATCCTGCTCAAGGTCACAGGAGGGTCTGGAAGAGACAGCCTAGTGTGTGTTCCTGTACAGGACTCTTTGGAATCAGGAGAAAGTTGCCTGCATTGGGAGCCAGACTGAATCCAAGAAAAGCACATTTATTTCATGGTTTCCTTTGCTAATGTATTTGTTTGGGTCCACATTTATAGGAACCAGTATTTGGATTTTTTTTTTTTTTTGCTTTTATTCATGTTGTTTTTGGAGGATTTTTGGTTTTTAGAACGTTTCATCAAATCCTCTCAAATTATCTCAAATGTTCTTACAGAATATGAGCAACAGCTATTAACTTCCACATAACTAAAAAGTCATGTCATGTTGCCTTCACAAAACTGCTGATCTCTACACATCAGGTCTGCTATATTTCTGCAAGACAGAGGTGTGGCACATTTGGTGTGTGAAGTCCTTGCTGTATCTTCCATGCTTTAGAACCGCTAAGACATGGCAACAGTCAGCCTGGTTCCCACCAAAGAACCTACCTTTCGGTTATCTCAACCACATGAGGCCTTTCCTTCATCTTGAAAGTCAGAAAACCAGACAGAATGAAGCGAGGAAAGCTGGGGCTATTCAATCCAGTGTCATTTCCCAAATGTTGGCATGGGATCAAGGGGCCTTCACTGTTAATGGTGTGCATCACCACATCTAGGCTCTGGAAAGCTTCCTAGTAGAGTTAGCTGTGAGTCCTCTTGACTATATAGCTTCAAAGCTGTTATTTTGGAAGCCAATTTTTCTGCAAAGTCTCTTGGAAATGGTTAGAAAAAATGCCATTGTTTTTGCTAACTCCCTTCCTATTTCTGAAAAATACTAAGAGCACAAAGGTGCTCATCTTACATTCTTTACAGCTTGATAAAACATAATGTGTAATACCTGAAATATGATTCCGAAGTACAGACCCTCTCTTTGGAAAAATAAGCACATCTTCTTGCAGATCTTTGATCTTGCATTTTTAATAATAAAAAATGCAGAAGATAGTAGCTGTGTTTCTTTTTTTATTATTATTATACTTTTACGTTCTGGTGTATGTGTGTAGAACATGCATGTTTGTTACATAGGTATACACTTACAATGGTGGTTTGCTGCATCCATCACCCCATCATCTACATTAGGTATTTCTCTTAATGTTATTCCTCCCCTAGCTCCTGACCTCCTGACAGGCTCACAGTGTGTGATGTTCCCGTCCCTGTGTCCATGTGTTCTCATTGTTAACTCCCACTTATGAATGAGAACATGTGGTGTTTGGTTTTCTGTTTTTGTGTCAGTTTGCTGAGAATGATGGTTTCCAGCTTCATCCATGTCCCTGCAAAGGACATGAATGCATTCTTTTTTATGGCTGCATAGTATTCCATGGTGTATATGTGCCACATTTTCTTTATCCAGTCTATCACTGATGTGTTTTTTAAGTAATAAGGCCATTGTCTAGGACCCAGGGTTGTTTTAGCATATCTTGAGAGATACTAATTACATAATTATTAGTATCTTTAATGGGAGGTTCCCAGCAGGCAACATGTTCCTGAGTGACTCTCAATACAGAGAGGCCTTTCCCTCCATGCTCTAGTATGTGTGGGTTGAAGTTCATGGGCTAGTAATACACACCCAGGCACTTGGTTTATAACCAATACACGTCTTGTATATGTCTTCAGTTATTAAGTGGAGAAATGGCTGGGCATTGTGGCTCATGCCTGTAAACCCAGCACTCCAGGAGGCTGAGACAGGAGGATCACTTGAGGTCAAGAGTTTGAGAACAGCCTGGTCAACATAGTGAGGCCCTGACTCTACAGAAATGTCAAATAAACTAATTAGGCATGATGGTGCATATGCATAGTTTCAACCATTCGGGTGGCTGATGCGGGAGGATTGCTTGAGCCTAGGACTTTGAGGCTGTGGTGAACAAGATCATGCCACTTGTATTAGTCTGTTTTCACACTGCTATGAAGAAATACCTAGACTGGATTATTTATAAGGGATAGATATTTAATTGACTTAGAGTTCTGTGTGGCTGGGGAGGCCTCAGGAAACTTATATGAACAGCAGAAAGTAAAGAGGAAGCAAGCACGCAGCTTCTTCAGGAATCAGCAGGAGAGACAGAGTTCAGGGGAAACTCACTTTTAAACCATTAGATCTCATGAGAACTCCCTCACTATCAGGAAAACAGCATGAGGGAAACCATCCCCATGATGCAATCACCTCCCACAAGGTTCCTCCCTTGACATGTGGGGATTACAGTTTGAGATGAGAGGCAGGTGGGGATATAGAGTCAAACCAGATCACCACTGCATTCCAGCCTGGGTAACAGAGCAAGACTTGTCAGAAAGAAAGAGAGAAAGAAAGAGAAGGAAGAAAGGAGGGAAGGAGGGAAGGAGGGAGGGAAGGAAGGAAGGAAGGAAAGGAAGGAAGGAAGGAAGGAAGGAAGAAAAGTCGGAAGGAAGGGAAAAAATAAGAAAAAATGAAGAATTTAATATTTAAAAAGTGAAGAGAGGGTTGCACTAAATTTATTTCCTAATGCTGAGAGGACCTGAGGTCCTTGTTGTCTTCTGACCTTACTTGTTAAAAACTCAAGTAAGGTCATAAGGTAACAGGGACCTGCCATGGTCTCAAGCCTGCCTCATTTACCATCTCTGCTTTCAAAAATAGAGGTAAGATGTGGTCTCTGACTCTCAGTCAGCAAAACACTCATTACGGGGTCTGTTTCTTCTGCTGACAGGGTATTTCATTACACAGAACTATTCCTGTCATCTCACACAATGTATTTTATCACATATCAAGTTACACTCTCAATAAGTTAAGCATATACAAAGAAGGCAACACAAGACAGTAAATTATTTTGAGCAAAACGCAGGAAGGGAAACCATATATATTTCTGAGTTATAAAGGCTACCGTTTTGAAAATGGGAAATTCATATTATCTAACTATACATCTCTTTCTAGAAATCCTTTCTAAAAATCTATCTCTTAGAAGTAGATGACCTAGATGTAAATTATTTTCATTAATATAGAGCAGTATTAACTTAGAGAGGAATTTTTTAAAAAAGATGTTGAAATGTTATTTTCTTCCATGTTAGTTTTTAACTGAAATGGAACAAGGGCTTACTTTTATTGGGGAAATCTATTATATGTAATCATTTCTGATATGCCACTAGTTGTGATGTGTACCACTGCTTTATGTGTTGATAACAACAACAAAAAATGCTCTCATGGATTGTAAGATGCCAGTTTATTTTAGAGATAGCAAAATACAAAAAAAAATGCAGAGAGAAGTTTATAATCATTAAACACTTTCACCTACATCTACATGTATAGATTATAGAGGTATACATCTGTATCCAAAGGAAATTAGGCTTTATAAGCTGAGAGATTTTTGAATGACACGAAATATCTTATATCACATGTAAAAGTGCAAGCTGCATAATGAAAGACAGGAGATCCTGCTACTCTGAGTGCAGTAAGAATTACAGGCATGTTGATGATGGTGAGTCAGCCTCAGACCCCCTTGTGTGTGACCCTACCAGGTAAACTTTCACAAACCTTGGACTGATGACATAGCACACTGACTTTCCCAAAGTTGGTGTTCCAGTCAAACCTCATGCAGTGACTGTGATTTATGATTGTCAGACCATTTGTATTGCTACCACAGAATACCTAAGGCTGAGTGATTTAAATGGGACAGAAGTTTATTTCACACAGTCTTGGAAGCTGGTAAGTCTAAGATCAAGGTACCTCTACTTAGACTCTGTCTAAGGACTTCTTGCTGTGTCCCACCTAGAAGAAGGTGGGAGGGCAAGAGAGAGCCAGCTTTCTTTATCACACCTCTTTATAAGGGTACCCAATCCATTCATGAGCTAGGAGCCCTCCTGGCCCAATCACCTGTTCAAGGTTCCACTTTTTAGTAGTATCACACTGGCAACACCTAGACTTGGAAGGAGCACATTCAGAAGATGGCAGTGGCTTAGATCCTCTGCTACTCAGAGAGTTTGAATTTTAGAAAGTAACCCAGAAAACCTTTTTATGGAATTAAGGACCTAAAGAAGACTTATTTTCTACTGAGCGATCCCTATTTAAAAATGTTTATGGGTTTCTGGAGTCCAGATGACAGGGCAATAGTTTACTGACATATTGATTAACGTTCTGTTTGCTTATAAAATTGTGATTCAAAACATTACTCTCAGTTTAAGAGATTTGAAGTGCATCAGTAAGATCTAAATTGGCATATCTAGACTGATTTATATGTCCTGCGTAAATTGTAATGTTGTTTAACAAGGCTAGCATAGTCTTAGGATTCTACTTGAGCTTTATTTATGCATGAATACCTTTGTGGATACATAATGAGCAAAGTACCATATAATATAATGAGTCACTACTCCAAAATGCATCATGCGATGTAGTTTGCATGTCCACTCCCCACAAATTTCATGTTGAAATGTGATCCCCAGTGTAGGAGTTGGGACCTCATTGGAGGTGTTTGTGTCATGGAGGCAAATCTCTCGTGAATGGCTGGATTCTGTCTCTGCAGTAATGAGTGC